CATAGGTATATTAGCTTATATTTTGACTTGCTTATTCCTTCAGAACGGAATGCTGAATGGGTAATAGGGACTGTCATTCGCGCTAAAAATAAAAAAAAGAGAAAACATTGATTCAATATTCAATACAATTACCATCTTATATTTTATATTATTTCTATGAAATGTTACTTTTATAGATAATAATGATAAACGAATTAAGTTCTTACCCAATTAATGGACAGATTCTTCCATTGCAATCGAAGCTGTCGATATATGCGATATCTTCGGGTGAAAGGTTAAAATCAAATACCTCACCGTTTTGAGCAATTCGTGATTTAGTAACTGACTTGGGAATAACTATATGGCCACGATCCAACTATAAATAATATTTACAATTTTATATTAACATATCAAATTATTAATTATCTTAAATATTATAAATTTGAAAATGTTTAAAATTATGTTCAATAGATTTGATTTATTAGAAAATATGCATATTAATATTTGTGAAAGGTATACCTGATAACGAATAAGTATTTGTGCAGGTGTTTTATTATATTTTTGTCCGAGTTCAATTAATTTTTTGTCTTCCAGCAGCTTTGGATCATCTGGCTTGGCCCATGGCCTATCTGGCGATCCGAGTGGACTATATGCCGTGATAAGAATGCCTTTTCCTTTACAAAAGTCTGACAATTTCTTCTGCGTTAAGTACGGATGGCATTCGACCTAAAATGATACATAAATGATGAAGATCTCTGCTATGAAGGTAACACTATATATATTTTTATTTTTTATTCTGTACAAATAAAAAAAAGTTAACAGAATTTTGTTACACGATATAAAACTTCTAAAAACAAAATTTTACTTTAACTATGAATTAATATAATATAGAATTTGATTATGTTGGATTAAAAGTTAATTTTTCAAAAAGTTTCTTTTTCAATTATTGCCATTTTTTATTTACCTGATTTGTAACTGGTTTGACTTTTGCACTCTCAAGTAGTCTAGTAATTTGTTCGGAATTAAAATTACTGACTCCAATGTTTTTTGTCAGACCTTTAGAAAGCATATCTTCCATAATCTTCCAAGTATCGACAAAATCTACGTCACTCAAAGCGACGGTACCATCAGGATTTGTAGGGAAAAGAGGTCCACCCTCTTTATACCCAACTGGCCAGTGAATTAAATAGAGATCTATGTAATCAAGACCAAGATCAGCCAACGTTTGTTTGAGGGCCGGTTCAACCAGATCAGGCCTGTGGAAAGTATTCCATAACTTGCTGGTTATAAACAGATCCTCTCTCTTAACGACACCCTCCGCGATTTTCGCCTGGACAGCAGCACCAACTTCCTTCTCGTTGCCATAAACGTGAGCACCGTCAATATGTCTGTAGCCAATATCGATAGCATCTTTCACAGCTTGGGTAACTTCTCCTGCTTTAGACTGAAATAAAATTGAGTCAGATTTAGACGATAATTTTTTGAGATTTTTGGACTTTTTTCAATTCTTCAATAAAAATTTCACAGTAATCTAATTACAATTTTTAATTTAATCGATGAGACATTTAATATTTAACGGAATTCTTATCATACTTCAGAAAATTAAAATAAAACATGATACTCTATAATTGAAAATTTATCTTGTAAAATTCTATTTTCTAAATTTAAAGAATATACTGTAAAATAATAAATCATATGATTGAAGTGCTACCTCAACAATATTGTATATTATATAAACGCGCGCGATTTAAATTGCTTAACTTAGAATATGCTGTATTATCATTAATGGCGTAACATATTTGCACTTCAGTGTTGATAAAACTGTAACGAAGGTGATAACAAAGTAACACGAATTAGGGTTTAATTAAATTTATGAATATATGATATTTATCGTTAGATAAAAATTATACTAATTACTAATATGATATTTATCGTTAGATAAAAATTATACTAATTACATATTAAAAAATTTTACATATAAATATTACACACTAAATTGTACAGAAAAAATTTTATTGATAGATTGTTTTATTGATTTGCTTTGCAGATTTCATTGAAATAATTCTGTGATATAAATGATTAATTCGCAAAATTCAACAAAAGAAAAAAAAACATGCAAAGAAACTAAATAACATGTAATGAAAAATAAGTAATAAACATATAAAAAAATATTATGAAATGAATATATATTATGAAATAAAATACAAGAGTCATGCACACACAAGAGATAGCTTATTAAAACGTATCTTTTTTTTCTTCTATTTTATGCTTTTAGTTTTTTCAATCTAAATACAGCACTGTTTAAAACAATTACGTAGCAGTTATGCGTTCATAGTGTTGCGGCTGTGATAACCTTCAGTCGATCGAGTGTTTCTTACACAACAGCCATAAAAGATTATAAAATTTTATAATTTATCTATTTATAATGTATTTGCAATATTTGAAAGTTAAAGCATTAGATTGCAAAACGCAATATCAATATTCAAACAAAATTGTCATACGCTGCAAGATTAGACACTTAATTATTTTCATATCTTTTAATGGCGTAAAACGTTGTTTTTCTGTATGCTATTTGCGAATTAATTGTTTATATCATAGAATTGTTTCGACAAAAAGCAAAGCAAATCAATAGAACAATCTATCGATGAAACATTAGATTGAATATCAGGGACAATATACAATACATTTAAGTCTTGAATAAACATGTGTGGTAAGGATTTATGAAATTCGATTTTATATGTTCATGATCAAATATAAGTTTAAATTTTTTTTTATTGTAACAGTAAATTGTAATAGATAAAAAATATAACTAATGTTTCAGTTTTGATTTCATTAGCCAATTAACAACCGCGTTTTCTATTATATTACCAACATAAAATCGCACACTAATTGCATATTCAACAGTTCTGCAAAACTGTTTGCTTTTCTTATCATACTCAACGTCGACAAAGAATATCATTTAACTTATCATTTAACTGTGAATGCGATGAAACAAGGACGTCATTCATATAATAAGTTTCTATTTTCCACAAGTGAACGAAATAATGTTTGTAGATTAGTTTTTTACGCAAAACTCGACCTGATAACAAAATTATATGCGTCAGAATAAAAAGAAAAGTTTGAAACATTGCGAAAGGTTAATGAAATGCTGCGAGATATGAGAAACTTGCCTTCCACGTGCCCAGACCAAAAATTGGTACTTCATTGCCATTGTAGAACTTGGCTTTCGGTGTTTTCAGAACCATTTTTATGTCACACCGCCGTTGATCGACTACGCAGCTTAAGATTCGGCGACAACTGTCACAAAGAATGCAACTCCTGTGACAAACTCCGAGCAGTGCTGTACACGCCGGCAGTTTTACTGAGTTCCTCTTATAAACGTCCCCCACCAAAGACCGGATTCAACGGACAAAATCGATCTTGCTCGAATTGTAATCGCGCGTCTTTGTGTTAGTGTTAGCGGAAAAAAGCCGGTCGTATCTCAAATCTATTTTTACAATTTATCAAAACAATATTTATTTTGAATACAAATATTTACAAGTTCTGCAATCTCAATTCTAACCTTAATTCTAACCTTAATTGTAACCTCTATTCTCGTCATGTTTTAATATCTAAAATTAATGTAGGCCTGAATATTGCATGTGTAGAAAATTTGCCGTTTTACATTCGTAAAAGAAAACTTTGGAAAAATGTTAATTGTTTTTGGATTTGCAGAGTATGCGTCACAATCGTTGCATAACAACAAGGTTACTGATTATATGATCATACAATGTAGTAGTGTCCATAATATGTGACTCAAATGACTGAGCAATGCTTGCTAAATTTATCAGTGGCAATCCGGCACCATGGAAAGTTACAGAAACCGTTTAGGACATTTAGAGCAATGAATCAAACCCTTGAGGACTCTACAGGAGAACAGAGTTTTATTCATAATGATATCTCATCTAATGAAGCCAAATAAAGTGGATCAACGATTTTTGTAATGGACACAAGAAGTGAATTATTCTTTTTAATTACTGTAATAATTATTCTATTTGCTGTAAAGATTTTATATTTTTCCATATATTTATCAAATTTTATTATCCAAAAACAATATAAGAAATTTGCAGTATTTTGAGTTATTATTAAAGAAACTTTTTTAAAAGAAAGTTGATAAATACTTTAATTTTTTATTTAATAATTGAACTGTCAATTCTTAAATAGAATAGTGGAGCGTTAAGGAAAAGAATATTTAAGGAACACTACAAACTTAAAGCAATATCACATGTGGCAGTAGCATACAAGCAAAATATTAATTTTTAATTACATAAATTGATATCTTATATGCCAATATATTTTTAGACATATAATTATTGATAAAAACTTATTAATCACTGTACGTATCATAACTATTGTTCTTTTTAAGAAATAAATGAATAATAATATACATAATCATGTGTTTGAAGAACATAGAAAAAAGTGGGTAAATCAAGAAAGTGTATTCTTTTATTAAAATAACAAATCTGATAGATTTTGATTTTAAAATTATTATTTGAGACTTAATCATTAGAAATATTAGTACATAAAGCACTAATAATTAAATAGCAAGCTTTCTCTGAAGAAAGATTGATCAAAATTTGGCGCAGGAAATGAAACATCTTACATAACGAAAGCTGTGCAAATTTTGCTAAAATTAGATTAAGTGGTATTTACACAAACAAGCAATATAGTTTGTAATGTGAATGACTTCATAAAATTGTTATAATTTTCTAAATTCGATGTACCCAGAACGAAACGTTTTAAAATATCATTTTCACCTTTTAAAATTTTTATCATAATTTATGCTGAATATTGAGGCATGCATCTTAAAACACTAGATTAAAACGCGTTTTACCTCTGACGTGAGGCGAATAAGCCGAACAAAAATTTAATCGTGCCTTACAATGATCTTGGCCAAGGCCTTGAAATTTTCCGCAACGTTCAATAACTCCAATTGGCTAGACCAAGGGTCGAGCAGGCATCAACTAATGTCGTGGGAACATGTACTTTTAAAGGGGATCCTAATATGATTATCGATGTTATGACTTGTTTCCTGTTGCCTAAGTTCGATAGATTCGCAATGTTCTCTGATTGCAAATTTCAAAAAACACTATTAAACCATAAAGCATTTACTATAATTATCATTTTTTACAATTTATTTGTATTTGCGATTTATTGGGAAAAAAGAAAACTGTTAAAGTTTTTAAAAATGAGTTTTTTAACTGTATTTCAAGTGTATGTAATTAAAATAAGTATCATGCATATCTCATTCTGTAAAGCTTATTTTTACATATTTTGTTCTTATATATAATGTGTAATATAAAATCAGACATTTAAAATGGAATGTTGAAGGGATAATACTTCAAATGCTGCGCTCTGTAACATAAAAATCAAAGAAAAATTGTTAGAGACAAATAAAACCATAAACTCGCGAATAGTTAATAAATTAGACAAACTAAATTTTTGTTATTATTTCTTAATATACAATATTCAAAGAATTAAAGGATAAATAGTCTAATAAAGTAATTTAAAAAAGTAATTTTTAAAGTTTAATTTAAAAAGTCTGCGTTTGAAATCAATTCAAGTGTTGAATAAAAGAATAAAAATGCTTGGAAGGAGATAAAATAAATGTAAATCCTGTAAATTATGATACTTACGGAGTAAAGCCTGCTACTCTATCTCCAGTGCCGAGTTTTCGGATAGCGTTCATTTCATCGAGTGTTAAAGAAAAGTCAAATATTTCCATGTTCTGTTTAATTCGATTTTTAGTTACCGACTTTGGTATTGGCGCAACTCCATGTTGATACTGTAAGAGTGAATTGTAACATATATATATGCGTAGAGTTTTAATTATGTAAAAAAGCTTCATAGTTTTTTTTATTACATACCACATATCGAAGCGCTACTTGCGCAGGAGTTTTATTGTATTTTTGTGCAATTTGCAGCACCACGGGACTATCTAATCTATTTTTAACACCTGATGCATTTCCAGGTTGTCCCAAAGGAGAATAACCAGTTACCGTAATATCATGTTTCTTGCAAAAATCTACTAATTTCTCTTGGTTCACATTTATATTAACTTCGATCTATGTCAAAATTCCTTGATATTAATAATAAGTCACGTCAAGCTTCTCAAAATATTAACGAACGAAACAAATACAAACGATTTAATCAGTTAAATACTGTAAAAACTGATAGGAAGTGTGATAATTATGAAACAATTTAGACATTAACGCATACCTGATTGTTAACTGGCGCAATTTTGGCAGATTTAAGTAGGCGGCTTATTTGTTCAGAGTTAAAATTGCTGATTCCGATACTGCGAGTTAATCCTTGGTTAACGCACTCTTCCATTCCCCTCCATGTTTCCAAATAATCAGTATCCGATCCCACAATGTCTCCATTAGCTTTTGTAGGCCACGGATCATCTCCATCCTAGAAAAGACCTTTTAAATAAATATCATGGAAATATAATAATGCAGCTATTTGTGTTTCTTACCTAAATTGTTATTCTTGCTCAATTTTATAATTTTTCGTACTTTATGAAAAGCGTGTAACTTTTGACACTTGGTCCAGTCAACAAAAATAAACAAATTACATATTTCTTGTGATTGCTTTATGCTTACCTTGAAAGCAAATGGCCAATGAACCAAATAAAGATCTACATAATCTAAACCAAGATTAGCCAGTGATTGTTTGCAGGATGGAACAACGAGTTCCTCCTTATGGAAATTATTCCACAACTAGAAAGAATCAAAAAAAAAATATTCATTTAATTAAATAATTATAATTAAGTATTAATGGTACAGCAAATGCCTATTTTTTTTAATTTATTGAACTTTTAAAGGATAAACAAGATTCTAAATATTTAAATTGTATTTAATGCTATATTTTGATCTGACCTTAGTAGTAATAAATAGATCTTCCCTCGTTACGGTACCATCATTGATTTTTTCACGCACAGCTTCTCCAATTTCTTTCTCATTGCCATAAAAGAAAGCTGTATCAATATGCCGATATCCCAAATCTATCGCATCTTTAACAGCTGTTTTCACTTCTCCCCTCTCGGACTATTTTTTGCAATAAAAAAAAAAGAGAAAATATAATTGTACATATTAATATCTTAATCGAAGATAAAAGCTAAAAAATTCCGAGTTATATTATACATTTTGATTTCAAATAAAATACGCACAAGTGTTTTGATTGTAATTTTTATGCGCAATCATCGCTCGTTCGATTGCTAAAAAATACTTACTTTGTAAGTGCCGAGACCCAACATCGGCATTTTATGCCCGTTAGAAAACGTAACTGTCGGAATTTGAGCCATTGTGATTTTTGATAGGTGCTCAGAAATTCAAGAGCCGGAATAAATAACTGTAACAAAACTTCAAGTTGATTAGTGAGTGATTAGGTAACTTTTAAATGTGACATTCAATATCGTAAATATGTGATTCTCGAATCGAGAATGCAAATTATTGCGATAAAAAAACACATTAAACTCTTATTTTATGTAAAACACTCTTAAACCGTTTATTATTAAGAACCGATTTTTCCAACGTCTTGAAAAGCTGCCTCTTTCCAACTTCTTGAAAAAATCGGTATTCCACCAATTACCTATTAATAAATATTAGTCCTTACTCAGTGGTTGGAATATCAAGTAAAATTACCTATCATCACTTGGTGATCGCAACGCTCGTGAACATTATCTATCTTTCTTTAACTTTCGATGAAAAACAAAGATAAAATGATTCCACAAGCGTTGCGATCGCCAAGTGGAATGTACTTTAAGAAGTTGAAACAACCGGACCAAACAAATTAAACGAATATACCATTTTGTAAAAGCGAGAATATTATTGATTTACCGGAAATGCTTGAAACCGTCCAAAATTAGATAATTTGTCTCATTTCCCGTTAAGTATGACACTAAAAATTTTACATACCTATGCGTATTAATATCCACTCTGGATTACAGCTGACTGCAACTAAAGTTCTACGCTGTGCCTACGTGTAGCGACTGTTCCTGTTATTCAACGTTATGCTATTTATTCAATGGATATTATATAATCCGCTATAACTCAATCATCGTACAAGTTTTCTTATCAATTGGCAGTAAAAAGTGACGCTTTATAGAGAAAGCGAGATAATGATTGATAAAAATTATAACCTAGTCATTATTTGCAATCATTTATTGATCATTTATACAAGGTGTCCTAAAACAACCTAGTAATTTTAGCAGGGGCGTATTTAACGTCGGTGCAACCGGTGCGATGCACCGACGGGCTCCGGGATCCGTGGGCCCCTGGTACGTGGTGAACATTTATGAATTTTTATGATTTTTTTTTAATAAAGAATTATAAGGGAATAACACATTTTAAATGTGGCACTCAAATATTTTTGTATGAAAATACTCGCAATACTTGGGAACCGAAAACTGTGGGAGAACAAGAGAGGAACAAAATCTAATGATCAACTAGCGCTCGGAAAGAAGTGATTTGACTGTTTTATTTTATTTACACCTTGCACCGAAGCTTTAATGGTCTTAAGAACGCGTCTGAATTTTAGGTGTCCTAACTGTCTACTTTTTAGTGCAGAATTGATTTTTTCATAATTTTCCAGTTATAAACTATTAAAAGCTATTAAAAGAAGAGAAATTTTCACGAACTTTGGCTATTTTATTTATCACAAAATCTATAGACATTCAAATAAATAACAAAATTGTTTTTTAATTAATCTCAGAAAAAATTTTCTTAATAAAATTTTAATGTAAGGCTTAATAATCCAGACAGCACATAGATGTTTAATAGATGACTAAAAGATGCCCCACTAAAAGTTATCTTGTGGCTTTAACTTATAAGATATCTAAAAAAAAACGTCTAATTTTAAAAAATCTAAAAAAATATCTAATTTTAGACATCTTTTAGTCGTTTTTTAGTTTTATGTGTCTGGGAAGATTGCATTAAGCTTTATAAAGATAAAATAGAAATTAATATATATATATATATCGATGTTTTCCTTAAAGAAACTTGGACTCCAAATTGGTCAAAGAATCTTATTAACCACATCTGATGATTAAGATACTTTAGAATAACACTTACTATTTTTGCATCTTTTTTTACTAATTTTTCATACATCACATATCTAATCTTAGATTAGATAACTCACAGCGAGTAAATGTTGAAACATATGATAATAGTTCTTTAATGGTAAATTTTTAAACATGAAATCCATCAATGTCTAAAGAATATCCAATATTTTTTAAATGTTTTTAAAATGTCTTTTAAATACGGTTTTGTTTTTTTGAAAGAAATTATTGTAATATTCATGTATTTCTTTAAAACTCCAAATGGAAAGGATAGCCTTTACTTCCTTGACACCTGAAAATAAGAAATTGATTAATCAGCCGTTTGTAACTTGCTGTTAGGATTTCATAAGTAATCAATTTACTTTTTAAAATATGCGTCAAATTTGTCGATAATTATAATTTTCTCTGGAGTTAACTTGAAATAAAAAATGTTAATCCTGTTGATATTCTGTTCAACACGTTCCTTAGAGATAAAGATTGGTATGATATCAATGTTAATATATTTGTAACGTCGAATTCCTGTTAAAAAACTATGTTCTTGCTATTTATTATTATATTCGATCCAACATCATTGTCTCATATAAAACAATTAATATCTACTAATATATCTTACCAAAAATCTTAGAATAACTTGTGGAGTTTTTTGCTGTATTCAGTTCCAATGCTTAAAATTTCTGAAGCATAACTATTGAATCACCAGATTTAGCATAACTAGGCGATCCAAACATGCTATAAGCTGTGAACTATTGTACAGAATTTGTACAGAACTCTCTCAATTTCTTCTAATTTAGATTCGGATCGCATTCTATCTGATTCATTACTGGTTTTATCTGAGCAATCGATAAGATGCGATTAATCTGCTTGCAATTGAAATTGCTGAGTCAAATGCTTTTTCTTAAGCTTAATATCGTACATTCCTGTTGATGTAATCCTCTTGTCCAAACAGGGAATTGCTTTTCTTCTCGATTGGTTTTATTCCTTTGGTATTGTCCTAAAATGATTGTAATGTAAACGATGGCGATTTTCGTCATTTAACGTAATTCTAACTTGCTCTCTAATTGTGTTTGGAATACAAATTGCTGCATACTATATTTATTTGTTTTATCGCGTTCTTTTCTTAAACTCCTACTTTTACGCTCGATATGAAGCGACGAATCAGGATCTTTAGTGTTACAAATATATCGATAATGCAAAGATATGATAACGTCGACACTATTTGCAATCGTGATTGTGCATCTTTTCTTAAGAATTATTGCACATTATTATTATAGATTTGGAGATTGACTTTACCATATAAGACATACATACATTGCCGTTTATGAAATGTATTCCACAACTAAATATATCATTAATTTTATTAATATTTCGTAAATAAATCACGATGTAACAACGTAAACGATATACCTTCGTATGAAAAGATCTCCTCTTTTTATGATTTTTTTGCAAACTTCTTGCGTAAGGCTGATTTCCTTTTCATTTTGATATACATAAGCACAATCGAAATGTTGATATCCTACATCACATATAACTTGCTCAATGACCTTTGGAAGAATCCTAAAATAATATTAAAATTTTTTATTTTTGAGAGATTAGAAGATTAAAATGACTACAATCTTTAAATTTAACTAAATTTTTGATTAGAAAGATTTATTTTTTTAACCATTATAAGCTTTATTTAAGCGAGTATAATTTTACTAACAATCGCAAACCTTTGTATTATTATCAGTAAATTTTCTCTCGCCAATAAACTGACACCAATGATCCATTTTAATAAGTGAGTTAATTTTTTGTGCTTACTATGTATCAAGTTCAAGTACAAGAATCTTTATAATGACGCCAATGCAACAATTAATCCCAGAGAACCAATTTAGAATTGATATCGCATTACAATCGCTCTAGTTACACGAGTTGTTGTTTATTAAACGATGTGCAGGTTATGCACAAGTTGTGCAACTTGTTTTAATAAAAAATTTGTTTGAATAAAAAACACATATTTTTTATAATTTTTTCAATGTACTTTTTACTGTTTTTTCTTAACTTAGATATTATAATGGATGTAATTAACATTCAAATGCATAGACACAAGTAGTATTGTGGAATTTATAAAAAAATATCTTATTGAAAAATACATTTGCAATAATATAAACATTTCATATAATGATGTGATATACAAATATGTAAGAAATATAACTTATATATCTCTGTCGAATACAATTAATTTATGTATCAGCATATAGGCAATTTTATATATAAAGCTATCCAAAAGTTATTCACATATGTAACATTGTCTTCAATTTGTCAATTTAGAATTGTTCGAAATACAGCAAGTACAAATCATAGCTTCTTACGTTTATTATTCTATTTCCATTTGTTGTTCTGCCACAGCAGATTTCTTTTTGCTATTTTTATTCTGATTTCTCACTTTCTTCGAAACTTCCGTTTTATTTTCGAGATCTACTCTAGTTCTGGAACGAACACCAGGTCCCCAATTTACAGTGGGATTTTGTTGAAAGCGTGACAAACGTTTTTGCCGGGAAACTGGATTTGCGAGAGGATGCAAAACGAGGGAGATATCTGTCGTAAGCGATGCATTAAGTATCCGTGCAGCTGGGCTATCCTCAGCTAATTTCTCCCTCTTTACAGGATGCTTTTTTTCCCAAGTACGTACGATATCCCATATTACATCATTCGGCGCATTTGTTTTAATGGACAGTTTACACGCATGCGAATATGATACTTTATAGCCTGCATTCAATAACGCTGATCGAAACATCATCATTGGTGGAACGTGGCATCTAACTATGGACATCAAACGATCTAATTTATAATACAAAGGAATATCTAGTTCTTCATGTATTACAGTCAAAACACCTTCCATTCTTTTCCATGTACCCAATTCCGTACTCAAATTGCTTAGCAATCGCGATACAAATTCATAATCGTGCAAAGGACCCAACCATATTGGGCCTGCCATGTGTTGACGATGCTGACAGTATTTACATAGTTGTTCTATTGCAGGTGCATTTGGTAATTTGTAATTTTTCGGAGCTTTCTTCGTCACCAATGATTGGAAATGTATACTTTCACATCCATTACATTGATAGAGCATCCCCATTTTAGTGGCATTTTCTTTACACTTCTCGTGGCTTGTAAAGACCTGAACGAATACTCTAAGATAAAAATCCACGCTTATAGATAACAATGGTACTATGTACCTTCCATAGCGTCCTGCATAGGAGGCAATACATTGCAGTAATATTCTTAACGCTATCTCATGACAAGATTTGGATTTTATAGATATTGCTCCATATTTATAGTAACAAGTTTCCGATACACCAGCTAATACAGCCATATCAGTAGCTGTAACCAAAAGTATACCACCATTGGATACACACTGCACCGCTCCATCCAAATACTTTGAAGGACAACCATATGGATCTAAATCAACTGCATCAAAACGATTTCGCCTATGTTGATACATCAACAACGTAGCATCCTCATGATAAGGTGTTACCAAATTTTCAACTTTATTATGCACGACGTTTCGTCTAATGCTTTCTACTGCTTGTGCGGAAATATCATTGGCTACAATCTGTCGTACACCTTCCACTTCCTTAGCATATCGTATGCTGCGTAAGCCAGTTGCAGATAAAGCCTCCAATATAGTGATTCCCTTTAGATTCTCTGTGTTTTCTTCTGTATTGTGTAACGTACTATTTTTATCAGCTTTCTCCGACTTACTTGTTTTTATTCCATCCGTTGCTTTATTCCATCCGTTTGTGGCAAATAGTGACAGCACTGCTACACTAAGATCTCTATTGAACTCTTGAACTGGATTATAAAATACTTTCTCTTTAAACAATATCTCTGCTTTTCCTTCTTTTATGACAGGAGTTTCGTCAAGTTTTGGCTTCTTTATGCATTGCTCATCAGCCATATTATTTGTTATTAACTGCTATTAACGTATATTAACTCTGAAAAATATATAAAAATATATATATATTTATGTTTAGATGTAATAGAGAATCCTGATACGATAAATTATTTTTATAAAATCAAGAAAATGCTTACACACTTAAAAGTACTATATAATACTTATGTGGCACGTTTGACTTCAAGATATTTAATATATTTACTTGCAATAATTGAATAAACTAATAATTAGTCATACTTGTGCTTTACTCGCAGGATATTTTGAAAAGCATGGAAGATTTATGAAAGATTCACTCTGCGTTTGATGTATGATATACGATCTACGAAATGATATTCAATAGAAAAATATACTTTCTAGAAATTTAATCTTATACTATCTAAAAAATAAATATATTACCTAAAAAATAAATTTTCTCAATCGGATTAAACGTACATTGAGTGACAAATACAATGTGTACCATCTATTGTTGGGCAGCAAAGCTCCTCGGCAAATATTGCGGCTAAAAAGTGAAACTATAAGCTAAAACAAACATCGAAGAGCAACTGTTGGTAAGAATATTTTTTTTTTTGTAATATGCATCACATTAGAATAGTTTTTAAAATAAGCAAAGTAAATGATATTGTTTTTTCTATTAAACAGCTATATTCAATGTTATTTTGTATATTTTCTCAAATAATATAAATATATCAATGGAAAAACTTGAAAAATGAGTTACATTAAAAAAAATAACTATGTATAAAAAAAGCATTGTTCTAACATTTATTCATATGATATTCATACACAAACAATGAAACAATCTTTTATTTCTTATATCTATAGTTTAATACATGTAGGTTCGCCGCTATTTGACTTCCAATGAACTAAAATAAATACATCGTCTTATCAAGTCTTCAAATTCAAGACCATCTTCGCACACTTTTCACACGTTCTACACTTATTTTACAAGCTATATATAAGTTGAGAATGAAAAACGTATAAGATATATTTCCATGACATCGAGTAAATAATCATTTTTATTCGCAAACAAAACTTTTTTTTTATAAAAACTAAAAAACATTATCAAATAGTAGTTTGAAATTTTGTAAAAGTTTTTGTCTCCAAGAGTTTTTATCAGATAACTTTAAAACTTGTAGTCATATATTTATTAGATAACTTTGAAACTTGCAGTCATATATTTTGCTAGTATTGGGCAAACCATAAAAACTTAGCATATTAGTATATTTCGATATAACAGAGCATAAATTGTTTGGTAAAAATACAAATTTTACTTATTAGCTGTTCCACCGTGATTAATAAAAGATAAAACTATTACTATATTTCTTTTCAAATCCTATTACTACTAATTACTATTTATCCTTTCAGATGTTATTAATATAAACTTGTTTTAATCATAAAACGATATCCATTCATTTTACGACACACTAATGGAGATTTTAAGTGTAACTTCGCCTATATATAATGAACTTCTGGAATATTAAGATGAATCTAAATTGTGAATGATCATTCTTTTGTAGAAAACATTATTTTATGTATCAGTAAATATTTCCCATAATATTAAGAAAAATATTAATCACAATATGTAGGTTTTTTGATAATCTTGTGTACTGCAATTACGAAACAGTTTTATTTAATAACCATACGATAATTTTAAGCAGTAAATTTCAAATGTATAGCGAGTAAGAAAAATATTTTGTTCTGTATCTTTTTGGAATAATTTTATACAAAGCAGAAAGATATTGTTGTAAATCTTTCTATCGAAATACATTGCTTTTATTTGTACTAACATATTGAATATATAGTACATTAAAGCGCAATATTTTCTTCTTTGCATAAAATTACAAAAAAAATTGCGTGTGCAAATTTTTTTTTTACTCACTTTATGTCAATATACGTCATTGATATCCTGGAAATTATTTCTGTATATCTACATTAAGAATGAAGTTAATGATTGACCGGTTTATCACTTTTGTAGAAAACATCATTTTTTACACATCAACAAATACTATTTGTCTATGTTATAAAGAAAATATCAACATTTTTGAGTTTATAGTCCAGATTATTCTGCTCAGCATATAATCAGACGTACTTGTACTTTTCACGCCTCTTTTTCCTGTGTTGGTTTTTTGCAAGGAGATGAAGTCTCATCGTCCTCTGCCTTGCGTTTCTTCCTTACCAAATGCGAAATATCGCTTGCAGGTTTAGACGCACTACCACTTCCGGAAGCCTCATTTGTTTCACCGGCGTTAGAGCATCCATTCATTCTCTCCTCCTTTATCTCCTTAAGCACACCGGCTTCCTTCTTCATATCCTTGATATCCGTGATTTTCTCCTGGATTTCTGGCAGAAGATCCTGCAGTTCCTTGATTTCCCCTTCGACAGTATAGAAGGGATCGTCGGACTGGGATGAGTCGTCCTTCACCGTCTTCAGATGTACGATCTTCGCTTCCAGTAGCGCGGATGCCTGGTTGAACTGTTCGATGCTGGCGTCGAAATTATTCGCCATCGCATACGCCAGTCCGAGCTGATAGTGGATCTCGGCGATCGCACGATGGTCGCGTGGAGTTATCTTCTCCAACAGATTCAAGCAGCCCTTGAAATCGGTCAGCGCACTTTCGTGATTGCCACCTTCCATCGCCACCTCACCCAGAAGTCGATAAGCCTCAGCTAGAGATTTCCAACCCTGAGGTCCGCGTTTGAGTAGCACCAATTTTGCCAGTTCCAAGACTTCCCAAGCGATCTACAAACGGAAATTAAACATCAGGTTCAATTCATTTCATTCGATATCGACCGAAAGTGTCAGTACAATATAATTCTATATCGCGTACCTGTAAATTGTTGACGTCTTCCTCCTCGTTTTCTTTCTCAACGTCTTCCTCTTCTGCCTCATCCCCGTCTTCTTCGTCCCTTTTTCTACTAGTAGAAGCTTCGCCGTTGCGCAAATCGAGATCTCGACTGCAACCGGGAATTTCTTCCTTCTGCACGCTGTTTTTCTCAATTTTTTCTTTGCTATCTACCGTTGCTTTATTGGATTCTTCCGTTTTCTCGTCCTTCTCAACACTTGTGTCTTTTGGATTTTCATCCTCTTTTTCCGTTTCGGGTTCTTGCTTGTCATCTTTGCTACTCGATGTGCTAGGGCTATTTCCTGTGGTACCTTCAGCTCCCTCCTCGCTTTCTTCCTCTTCCTCCTCTTCACCTTGCTCATCTTGACTGACTTCTTCAGATCCGGGAACACCGCCTCCCAGAACACCCGCCTCCTCGCGTGCCAGACCTAGAAGGGCTCGTCCGTAAAGTAAATAGAGCTCACCCATCTCGTCGCCGGTCTCTCCGTGTTCCTGAGCATGCAGTTCACAGGCCTGGGCTAGGACGACCACCGCCAAGTTGTAGTCGCGCACCAGAAGGTGACGTTTGCCTTGAGAGATAGCCGTCGCGGCGTCCTTGATCGGCATTTCCTCGGAGAGATCCGCCATCTAAACAGCAAAATAAAAATTTTTAATTGCAAAAAAATCTCTACTGAAAAATAAATCCTCACGCTTTTTTAGCTCATTCAACATGTAACTGTTGCTTCTGTTCCAATTTTTCTAAGTTTGAGAGAGTTCTTTCGATTAAAAGATACCATATATAAAAACGAGGAGGAAATTGATACAGAAGGTTCTTTCGATTGAAAGATACCATATGTAAAAACGAGAAGGAAACTGATACAGAAGGCACCAACACGACAGCAATGTACCTTTATAAATCGAATAACAGATACGACGAGCTGATAACGAAGAAGAAGAATGAGGATCCAGAACGCAATTACAAGACACGCATTTACAAGAATTGAAATAGTTCAATCGACTGGTATTTTAATTAAAGAACTCTAAGAGAGTTTCTTCAATCATGAAAGATTGCTGGAATAACTTGTAAACGCAGAAGGATCATGTTTTGCGAGAAATAACGTAAAGTCCGATAAAGCAAGTTGTAATAATTAAAATAAAATTTATCTACTAGTTGAATTATCGAGTGTAACGTCGAATGACTTTCCATTTGCAGTCATAGCGCAATCCTCCGTACGATACAAGCTTTAATCGTACATTTAATTGTTCGGAAGACGCGGAAAGAATATATGGGGTGATGAGGTGGATATCCGCAGCATCCGCGAGTGGGGGGTGGCGGTTCTCCGCGTCGGTCGATTCGTCGTGACGCTTCGACGCCGCGGAAGGGTGAGGGCGTCCACGTCGCGAGGATGCCGAGAGAACGAGTACCAAGGGCGTACGGTCAGTTGCGAATCGAGGGACGCGAGCGTCGCTTACAGGCGCCGCCCTGGGCGCCGGTGCTTCCAAACAGATGGAGCCGACCCGCGTGCCCCGGGGTCCCGGTCCGCGCCTCGTCTTCCTCTTCGCCACGCTCGTACTGACCTTCGCAGGTAATAAAACACACCGAAGACACATTGTTCCCTCAACAAAAAAAAAACTAACATTTGTCTTAAACTTTTTGTAACGTATCATGAGGAATGTAAAGAATAACATTCATTATCACATATCGTACGTGTTGCACAGAAATCTGCAACAGGAATAGACGATTGCACAATACGTGTACGCGATCGGAATAATAAAACTCGATCATCTTTACATTTGTCGCGTTATATTTAAAAAATACTTATAGAAACATTTAACAGTAAAAATTAATCGCACTTCAATCACTGTTTCTTGATCATTAATGATATAAATGCATTGATAAACGCATGAAAATACGAGCATCGCACAGATTAAGGATTTTTTTTCAGAGTAAACATTAAGCTGGTGCAAAAGATTTATCCTACTCACAAGATTAATTGCAAAACAAAGTTATGCGATGTCGTATTATATTCCATTAGTCGCGGTACATTGCATTAATCGCGATACACGCCATTAGTTTTAATACTTGTTTCATTTAGAAGTTTGTCACATATAATCGGTTTGATATAATTAAAAAAAATAAAACTTATTTAAAAAAACCTTGTTGATAGAAAAGCGAGAAATCTTTTGCGTCGATCTAGAAATTAAATCTTCTTTGTTTCAGCAACGGGGCTCCTATGTGGTGCGATAATGTCGGATCATTGGGAAGAGATCGGCTGGGACAAGGAGGATCTGATCCGAACATCATCTCACACGAATCTCAGTCTCACGTGGTACCTGGACGGTCAGGTTGCTATGATCGAGTCTTCCGTTAATCATCATCGCGCTAATCATCACGTCGCCAAAAGTTCCTCCTTTCTAGTTCCAATGCACGGCGGGATTTGGATTATGTGTGTTTCTCTGTCAGGTATAGACTCTACGATGGCTTTTAGAACATAATCTTACAACTGAATGCTGAAATCATTTTTATCTGAACGTTAATAAGTGTTTACGATTTTGTATGTATTGTTTTTTTTTAATCAATTCATTCCATGAAAATAATCTGCAATTTGTAGATTATACGAATCAGTCCTGATAACTTCAGTCATTATAATTACTTCAGATATTGTATTATATATATAATTATAATTATATTAATTTGTGATATTGCAAACCTATTCATTATTGCTATTAATATATATTATATATATTAATATATAGATTCTTGATAAATGGATTAAAAAAATTTTATGTACTTAACAACACGTGTTTGTAATCAGTGTATATATAAAATGCCAGAGACCATGTTTTTTTTTATCATATCCAAAACTTATTTAAGACTCCTAAATTGTTGCTTGTGAGAAAACTAAAATCATGGTCACGCGATTGTATGAATGCGTTGCGCTGTTGAAACTGTGCGATTCGGTGGTTCGATATCTTTGGTCAGAGTCAAGGTAGCATCTAAATATAGTCACGTGTGCACATGCAACACAAACAAGAGGATTCCTTCCGATGAAATTCCGGTGAAGATATTTATTGAATTTCGCAATCAGTGTTTCCTTGTAAACTTTTCCTAAATTAATTTAAAATGAATTTATTTTTATATAAGAATTGTAAAATTTTGAACATTTAACGATAATGGTCATTTTTGAGCAAATAGTATAATTTTCGAAAAATAATGGCAAGCGTTTTTCGTGAATAAAGCATATTTTTTTCATAAAATTTGTAGTCGATGTCGAAATTAATTTAATTGTACTTTTTTAACATAAAACTTAAAAATGTGAAAAATATTTCTTGACGATTTTATGAACAAAAATAGATTGTAAATTAATTAAAAAATTATAGATAAAATAGGTTTGCAATATCACAAATATATTAATATCTAGATATTTTAATTAGCCGGGAAAGTGCCACGACAAAAATTTATAACGCTTCCTAATACAGTAAAATAAAAATATGCAACATATCTCCCTTCGTTTAATCGAACTTGTGCAACCTTGAAAAATTTTAAAACAATTCGAGATCGTAATTGTTTCATTTAATTATTTTCGCCGAAATCACTTTCATAGTGTCTGAGCACGCTAAGCAGCGCCTAGCACTACCTGCATAACTTTTGCGCATAAGATTTATATCATGGTCAAGGTGTCAATAGTTCTTGTACCATGCTATTAAAAGTTATATAATAACGTGCCCTCGTACATAACCTTTGATATTCAACAAATTTTTATCTCTCGTTTGAAATCATGCAAGTGTTGCTTCTTCATAGTAACACTTTAACACTTTAGTAACATTTTTTCGACTAAAAATATCGTATGATATAATTATAAAAGGTTTGAAAGTTTCAACAAATTTTTTCTTGAATGGAAACACTGAATGTTTTAATTGAAACTCTAAGATTGTTTTCAATGATTAAAATATCAATGGAATATAAACATATAAACACAGAAGAATCCAAACTTTGAATGGAAAGAAACAAAGATTAACTTATCAGCAAATTTTGTTTTTATAGAAGAAGAAATACAACTACTGGAACAAGTAGGTTTCCCGCAAGAGAAATGTATCAATTATTTGACACCAGATGAAACGCACGAAGAGATGCGCACAGCTTGGCAGAATCGTAAGTAAATATCAAACGACAATTGAATCAAGAGCTTAGAGTGATCTTATTTTATATCTGCTTTACGATTATCTCATTATTCAATCATTGTAATCTCATTCGACAGACAACTGAGAAGCGTGAAAGCAAATATTTTTGCATTAACAAAATGCTGGAGAAAGTGATAATTACAATTCTATTATGAAGAATAAGTTTGTTATAAGATTTTTGACATTCCGTTTCAGGAATGCAGAACCTAAGTATCTCGTGTTCTTTGGTGTGCCTGATCATTCTTGGATGTGCTGCGCTTATAGGATTTTTCGGCTTATGCAGGCATCAGATATCAGCTGTACTCGTGACAGGGGTGATGTATCTTCTCGCAGGTAAAGCCCACGTATTTCTTTAAGTGCAAAAGAATAGTTTGCAGATTCTTAAATTCAGCACTTTATGCTTACCAATGCCGAATATATTAATGAACAAAGTTGTCAGACTATGACGTAGCGATCAAGTGTTCAGCGATTGAACTGATAATCACTGGGTTTTATTTCAGCGACATTCGCACTGTTCACGCTGACGATCATCCACAGTAAAAGGACTCAAGATCGCGAGGCCAAACCGATAGTGGACGGGCCCGAGGACGGCGTGATCGGTATGCCTGTTCTCCGCAGCGTTCTCAAGGCCAGGAGATTCACTACCGCGTGGAGCATGGACTTAGGATGGGGCGGAGTCACCCTCTGTGCTCTCGCGTCAGTCGCCTGGATCCTCCTCAGCAAGATCATGCGTTTCAGCCCGATCGCCGCTATGATAGCGTAGCAGTGGGACGCCTTCGAGGTCTAAGGTCGTTTCTCACGGTCGCGACGTCCAGTCGCGATCCTTTCAGGTAATGTTTTAACATTTTTTTCCATGCATCAAATTAATGCAAGAGATTTCTTGTTTTTTTATTGTGTTTTTGTTTTAATCTTTTAAAGGACAAATTTTTATTAATAAAAATTACTTCTACATTCAGCGTAATTTTGCCTCCGTTTGAAAATATTGATAATGAATTGCACACAAACTTGACAAATAAATATATTCGAAATATAGAATATCTTTTATGCTTAGGAATCAAAGATTTTCAAGACCTTGAAGAGGATCGCAAACTGAGACGCTACAAACGATGCTTTTTGAGGAAGCCGCATCCAGAAATGACCAACTCGAAGGCGATAAGTGCCTACTTTATATTATTTATCTCGTTCGCATAAATATTTGTTATTTCGATTGAAGGAAACTAATAAGTTTATCGGAGAAATAGTAAGATTTTGGTTAAATTCTTCGTCGGCAGAAATATTTAATAACTTATTTGACGCTTAGTAGAATCACTGAATGCGCCATTTTAACAATTTATATATTTTTTTTGCATTTTATCATTTGTGTTGTTTATTGCACGTAACTAAGCAACACTTACTAGAAATAGTAAGAACCTAAGAATAAAACAAGAGAAGTGAAGTAAATAGACCTACATATGTACGCTCATAATGTAAAGAGACAAAGTGTAACGCTCTCAATGGCAATTAACATTATGCGTGAGTATAAATTAAATAACATATTTTTTGAAGTTTGGTTTTTACTAATAGCTCCATAATCATTTATAAACATTCTCCCCTTTTTTCATATTTCATAAATTTTAATTTTATTTACATTTTTGCCACGTTAATTAATTTCTTGTTTTAAATTTGCATCTGCACTTAGAATCAATCTTCGATTAAATTATTGTGCTATCGTGTGCGTGATGTTATAGCTGCTCGTTTTGTGAGGAATAATGAGGAATAATGGAGCGTTACACTTTGTGAATTAATAACGAGAGACTTTAACTCTCTGAAGACTATAAAGATATACGCTGATTACGTAGCTGGCTATAATGTAATCTGACTCGCCTTATGATTAGAGTGATAAGCGTATTTGTAAAGCATAGCCTAAAAATGTTAGTTATATACAAAGTGAGGCGTGTAAAGCGTGACGATTGACTTCTCTCAGAAAGAAAGGAGAAGTAATACAATCACGCTAAATGTTCTCCTTCAAATTTTGAGACAACTTTGAATATTTTCTTCTATATTTTTTTGAGATATTGTAATCTGCGTCACGCTTTAAACGCTCCAACTTGTGCATAGTATAATATTCTTTCAAGCGGTGAAAAAAAAGAGCTTGTTTTTGCTACAACTTGTTATAGCGATTAGACGAAATGATAATTGCGCACGAGCATGTATCCTGCATGTGAAAAGGATCGCGAGCTGCGTTTCGTCCATTAAAATTTAAGGAACTTCCATATGTTACGCGTCACTCGGTGCTTTTGAAGGAGAACACCACATTTTTCTAACAATGCATTTAGATTTTTTCTAGCAATGCAACAATTCCAACAATGCATTCTTGATTGCCATATTTTTTTATGCGATCTTTGTTATTTGTTATATTGAAACTAATAAGTGAGCACAATAAAGAACTACAATAAATCTATAGCTAAGACCCATCAATTCTCTAATATAGACATTAATGGTTTTTAAGATCTTGGTAAGGTATCTTCGCCATATGGTATTTGATTTTAAAGATTTCAAAACTACTACTTTACTATAAAATAAAAAAATTAACAAAACCATCTTATTCATAGCATTTTGTATTGAGAAGATATACATCTTTTGCATAATGATCTATGTTTTTATTTAGATATAAATTATTTGTTACTTTAAATTTATTACTTTAGCAATAAAAGACTTCTATTACTAAAATTTTGTAACATTGTTATAAGAAAAGTTCTTAATGAATATTCATTCGAATCAGCTGACCAAATAACTAAGGATATATGTATTAAAGCGTACGAATTCTGCGCGCGCGCGCGCGTTTATTCGGAGACGCGATAGATTTCCTAACCTCCAAAAACGTTTCTAAATGGTTCATTATTGTTATCGTTGAGCGAGAATGATAATCGTCACTTTTATATTTTACTGATAAAAATATGCAATAGGAAATTCCACTCAAGTCGACAAATAAATTTATCGGTTACTTACTTGATCACTTAGCAGTGTAAAATATGCTCATTGTAGTTGCGTATTTTACACTTTTTCATCATTCTTTTCTGTCTATTTATATCGCGATGTAGTCCTTTCATTGATGCTACATATTTCATTTATCATATATAGTACTCGTACTAAGTTCGCGCTGTATATTGTTTGCATCATTAAACAAAATCAATTTAATACAAAAATAGTATTTGATACGCATATCAAAACAATCAGTGTAAACCAGTTAATCTGAGTGCAGAAGATGTAACAAAATGTGGGCTTATGAGCATGTATTTACCGTATTGTCAGAATACCAAGTCATAAATGTTATTCAAGCGAAAAACGTATTTCTCTATTTTTCCTTAATTAATCTTCTCGTACTCTTGCAGAAAAAAATATTTAAATTGTCAATAAACAAGAAAAAGGTTTGGATGTCAGTCGTATCGATGTAACGGTAATGTGATGTTAACTACGATAGAGAGACTCGTACATACCTTGATCGCCTTCCAAAGTGATAATATTTCCTTCACAAGGAGATATCTTCGATCTGTAACCCAAGTGTAATCCAAAGAAACGCAGATGAAACACAATTTCCGTTACTGCACGCGTGAACTATGCAACCGGCACGCGGGCAAATTTTACGACTCGGTGTGCAACCATTGATGATGGAGTTTCGAAGATGGTCGATCTATATTAACAATTTGAGAAATATACCGTGTTCCGAAAATCCAATCGTTAAATAAAGTCCCTAGAAAACGTGTTTTCCTATTGGATGTCGAATGATGCTGTATGAATCCTGCATCAATTCTTGACTAACCATTCACTGCGCATGTGTACAGGATGTTACACTCACGTCTTTTTCAACATGCTTGTTTCGTTTCTATACAATCCTTTTGCCTGCGACTTCTGAAGTTGTCTGGCTAGTGTACGTCTCATGCGTAAAAAATTATAAAAAGGACGCGAGATGGTAAGAAAATTTGTTTCTTAAAATGTGAATATACCTTGCACATGTATTAGCGCGATTTTTTTTCTATAGATTGCATATTTTCGTGATTATTTTGTTCTGAAAAGTGTTCGCGTTCGTTCTCGCTGTCGTCAGCTGCCGTGTTTAACCCCGATGTACCAATATCCAGCATATTTTCTTGATAAATGTACTCCGATATTTCGAATTTTAAGTTATCCTCTAATAGCATTGTACGCGATTTTCTAATTATCGCAATAATATAACAAATGAGACGCAAAAATCAGTAGTACGTGCTACATTTTTCGGGAGCCATGTGCACGTGTGAGATATTCGAGATATCCGGTTCCGCCATTGCGATTGAGAAGGCGTGCATGAGAAACAAGTAGATAATATATTGTAAATCGTAAATAATTTAACAATAGAAATCGGATTATTATAATTAGCACGATTTTAGTAAAGCGGTGCTATATACGGAAATGACTCATTTTTCTATTTGTATGCAATCAATCGCATTTTTCCCCATGACATATGCCGTATGCACTAATATCTAGTGAAATAAAACCTCGATTTTTAGAAAATATATATTTTTTATTTTCTATTCTCTATCATATTTTATCACCTGTTTAATATAATAAGAAAGTTGGGATTCGCAAAATGTACAAATATTGTACCAATTTTAATTTTGCTATGTAAAATAGAGAATTACATTAATATATTGAATTGTAATAATATAGCATATAATATTTTCTAGTCGTTATCAACGGCGCGGCCACTTATCACGGTGTATACCGACAAAAATGAGGCATCAGGAGAAACAATTTCCTTGCCATCTGTATTTAAAGCTCCGATTCGACCTGATATTGTGAACGTTGTTCACCAATTAATCTCTACTAACAAAAGACAACCGTACTGTGTGTCTAAAGAGGCTGGTAAGTATTTGATATTTTTTTTCCTATGAATTCTACATACAATTCTATGATCAATTACCTTGTATCTAAGTTATAAAATTGTACTTATTAAGCATAATCTTTGTTTTCCAGGTCATCAAACCTCTGCAGAATCATGGGGTACTGGACGTGCTGTAGCACGTATACCTCGTGTACGTGGCGGTGGTACTCATCGTTCTGGTCAGGGTGCTTTCGGTAATATGTGTCGAGGTGGACGCATGTTTGCGCCTACCAAGCCATGGCGACGTTGGCATCATCGTGTCAATGTCAACCAGAAACGTTATGCTCTCGTTTCTGCCATTGCTGCTTCCGGTGTTCCAGCACTTGTGCAATCTAAAGGTGTGTACTTTTTACATTTTTTAAAAGAAAAGTAATTTTTAAAATTAAACCTTAGTTTATATTTTCTTTAATAATGCAGCAAAAGCAAGAAAATTATAGAATAAAATGCACATTTAATATTTTTTATCTATTTTTAATTTTTAATATAAATTTACTCGCTCTTAAACGATGGAGTTTCAAGATTTGTATTATTGATTCATCACTGATTTATTTTGTAGTAACCATCTAATATATTTGATTTGTGATTAATTTTTAAATACAAAGGTAAAATTGCAATATACATTACATTTTTATATTGTATACAGGACACTTGATCCATGAGGCCCCGGAATTTCCATTGGTTGTTTCCGATAAGATTCAAGAATACACTAAAACAAAACAAGCTGTCATCTTTTTGCGACGTATCAAGGCTTGGAATGACATTCAAAAGGTTTTACTTTTATGTTTTACTTGTAGGAATCTTTCTATGTAATTATGTACATTTATGCACTGACAAATGTCCGCATCTTTGTTAAGCATGTTTAGCTCAGATGCTCCTGACAAGTGCTAAAGAAATATGGTATTCAGGCGTTCTTGACTAGTTGATTCGCGTTGACTAGCAGGGGTATGAATTACCGAACAGTTTATTTTGTTTATTTGAAAGTTGTCAAGTAGATTGATTATTTTGCTGTACCAAGATATATGCAGAAAGCATGACGTAAATGCGTTTATTTGGATTTGTACTACGAATTATATCATAAATTGTTTTTTTATTCTTAATTTGTATTATAGATTACAATATTTTATTGTGCATTATTAGGTGTACAAGTCGCAACGCTTTCGTGCCGGAAAGGGTAAAATGCGTAATCGCCGACGCATTCAACGACGTGGACCTTTGATTGTTTATGGTCAAGATCAGGTAAGTTTTTTTTTATCAAAACAGACAACTTAGGATTTTATTTTTTTTTCAATAAACTATATATAAACTCTTAATCGTCATATATATCTCGCAAAAGATCAGTATTCGTGAATCACGCAATTATATAATAATCTCTTATTTCTAGGGTATTCATAAAGCATTCCGGAACATCCCCGGTGTCGATTTGATGAACATCAACAAGATGAACTTGTTGAAACTGGCGCCTGGTGGTCACGTTGGACGTTTCGTAATCTGGACAAAGTCTGCTTTTGATCAGTTAGATGCTTTGTATGGAACTTGGCGCAAAGAGTCTCAACTCAAGAAGGGCTACAACTTGCCGTTCCCTAAAATGGCAAATACGGATCTATCCAGGCTGCTTAAGTCCGAAGAAATTCGTAAAGTTTTGAGGGCTCCTAGGTAAATTAATACAAACGATTATTTTATATATATTATAATTAAGTTCGTAGATATTTCTTTTCTGCAACACTGAAAGCGCTATTTTAAAAGATATAATATTAATTTACAAATAATTATATATTGATTATAAATAAGTTTTCTCAACAAGCTTGATCATCAGATAGTGATACATAGTTTCCGCGCTTTACCTCTTTTTCTTTCATCAATATTTCTTAATCGTGATGACAGTTACGTCCGTGTTTCTGAAGAAGCAGTGATTATTACGTATAATTGTATCTGATTTGTATTATAAATTTTACTTATTATTTATGATTAAAATGATTTATTTAAGAAGAAATTATACGATTACAGGAAGAAGGTGGTGCGCAGAGTGAAGAAACTGAATCCGTTGACCAACACACGGGCTATGTTACGTCTTAATCCGTATGCCGCGGTTTTGAAACGCGCCGCTATCTTGACCGCGCAGAAGCGCCAACACGCGAGGGATCTTCTTCTTGCTGAGAAACGAGGTGTAAGTGTAACTATCATTTGTTTTGCTATACTTTATACACATTTTATCATTGTACAATGATGTCAGGGAAAATATTTGTACTTTCTATAAAAAAGAAAATTTTAAAATACACAACAAAGATTTAGACATTATGTCGAGACAAACTTAAAATAATGTTGATAACAGAATGATTTTTACTCAAAATTTTGATTGGTTTTACATGGTTATTACAGATCAAATTATCGAAGAGTGCACCAGCATCGAAGACCGCTGTGCTTTTGGCGAGAAGGAAAGAACAGTTGGTAAAATCCAAAAAACTGAAGGATCCTACAAAAGCTAAAGTTGAGAAAGATACCGCGAAAACCGGTGCCTCAAAACAACAAGCTAAAAAGTGAACAATAAACGTTGATAATTTCAACGTTGTTGATCTATAATTTTTATTTCTTCCTCTGAATAAAACACTTAAAATTACAATCAATAATTATCTTTATACCTTTTCAATCTGTTGACATTTTATTATATGGTAAGTGACTTATTATTCGTAACACGATCTTGTTTATTTCTTTGGATGCAATCCAATTAGCGTTACAAATGTTAAAAACGTTTTGAGTGACGTTTATTTGGCGTATTAAACAAATCATGATACGTTATATAATTCCTTTTTTTTGATCATGAAATGATATAAATTAGTTATATTATAATATTCAAGTAGTGCAATACAATCTCTGTTGAAGGTATTCACGGTTTTCGCGCGATTATAAGTGTTTTTGTATCATCATTTTCAACCACTAATTACACTACGTGGTTATCCGTCATATTAAAAAAGTTAAAAAAAATGATTTTTTGTAGACAATAATGCATTGAACATGAAATATAGTTCGATTTTACGATGTATATAGAATGCGATAAGAAGCGGTAAAAGCAATCATTTCTTATTGCGTGTTTTCAAAAAACACGTAGCAGTCATCACATTATTACTGTCTTATGTATAGGAAATTTTCTTTTTTAGGGAGAATGTTTTCTAGAAAACAATTTAGTTTACTTCATTGGATCCTAGAGGAATTTTTTCTACATACAGAGCGAATACTGCCCTAATAGTGCTCAATAGTGTTCAATAAAGTTGATACAATATTTGGGTGCAACATAAGATGTTTTTTGGGATCTTTAACGTAGAAAAACAGAACTTTTTTATCATTTGTGTAAAATTAAGCTTTACGAAAAGCCTTATGATACTATTTACTTTAGTAAAATATGTACTCTGTTATGGGGTAGATTTATACCTGCTAAGACTTGCGTTACTGCGCACGCGTAAATTTTCCCTCCCTGTTGCTAAGCACAAGTTTGAGAGTTTCATCATCGGCAGCCACGTGAAAGATATTGGAAAGATCATTTAGAAGGTATATGAAAGAAAATATATGAAGATATATGTTTTGAAAAATATTGATTAATTGCATTTAGCATATTTTGTCAAAATTTATTAATTTTCAACAAACCGTGCACCGATTTAGAATACTGCTATACCACAATACTGAAACGAATTCAATAGATGAACGAAGATAAGAAAAAAGGCTATTAAGTATCAGCGTGGTGCTGTTTCAAGCAAAATAGATATTTATTTTAAATATATTTACTTTGATAAATAAAAAAAAAATTTTTTTAAATTTATTTTAAATCATCTACTACAAGAAAAAGAAGAGAAACGCTAAACTTTAACAATAAAAATTGATATTGTGCCGTAACACTTATTTTGGAAAAAAAAATTTGCTTTAAAAGGAAAGAAAAAACACGGAGTTCTGATAAAGTAATATTATATTTTAACAAAAAAATAAAGCACAAAATTCCTATAACATAAAAAACTGCAACAAAACAAATAAAAGGTAAGTAATGCAAATGCATGATATTTTATTATAGACATGAATAGAAATGTTTACTAATATCTTATTCTATTCATTTTTCTGTATATAAAATTATATTATTATATTAATGCGATTTTATTGATTGACTTTGTTAATAGCAGCAATAACAATGAATTTTGACAAAAAATCTTTGGAAGAAGAAATGAGATCTAAATCTCTTGAGAGAAGAAATGAGACATATCTCAGAAGAAAAAAATGGCATTTAGAACAACAACTACAACAGGAGCACGAGGAACTAAAACGGGAAAAGATTAAAGAATATGAAAGAAAACGGGTTGAGGCTTTGAGAAATCAGCGAAGATTTTCACAACGGAGGAAGAGCAATACTTTACAACGGAGCAAGAGCAATACTTTACAACGGAGCAAGAGCAATACTCCACAGCGAAGAAAAACTCTCTCCACTGACTCTGAACATTCTAAAGAGTAAATAAGAAAGATATAGAAAAATTAAAGATTATATATAAATTTAATATTTTAATTAAATTGAATAATATTTTATCAAATTGAATAACATTTTATCAAATTAAATAATATAATATTTTACAATTTATAAATATAAAAAGTAATATAAGAGTACAATGTAAAATATAACAGCATTTATAAACACAAATTTATAAACATAAAGCATTATAAAATATAACATTTATAAAATATAGCATTTATAGCATTTATAGCATTTATAAAATATAGCATTATAAACACAATTATGGCATAAATTTAATTTTTTAATGATGACTATCTTAAAAAATAAAATTAATATTATATTATTGAAACGTTTTTAGTTTTGAAATATTGAAATATTCAAAAGATACAATTATTGACCAAAAAGAATTGCACAAAATCAAGAGAACAATCCATAGGCAATTTGACACGAAAGATCAAATCACATCAGAGAAAATTGAATGGGATATTGATGATCTGAATAAAATAACTCTTCTGAGAAGAACAGGTACAATATTATGTTATTTTTATAATATTACAAAAAAGCATAATTATTATCATACTATGTGACAAACACAATTATTTAATATTATGTAATAAAATAGATCTTACATAATACAGAGTTATATAAAATGCATAATACATAATGTTTATAATGAATTAACTGATTGATAAAAAAATGATCAATTATAGATGAAGGATCTTGTCCGATATTTAAAAACATAAATGCAGCACAAGCAAGAGAAATTGAAGAGACACATAGAGAAGAACAATCAGGTTTTTATATATATTTATTTGTAAAAACAAGCAATGTGAGTTCAATTGATCTAGTATAATTGTATCATTGTATTTAAATAATTTGATAAAGTTTTTTCATATTTAAATTATAGTAAAATGCAAAGTAAATGTGATAATATTGGAAATATAAATATAGAAAAAATAGTTAAAACTATTTTAGTTTCTAGTTATTTTAAAAAAACAGTTGCCAACAGACATTGATACCCGCAAATATTCTGCTGATGAGAGAGACCTTCAAAGTAATAGGTATTTATTGACAAGTTTATATCGATCTAAATATTAATATGGTGAAATTAGAATTAAGATACACATTTCAGTAGCAGGATTTTTAAGAAATAAACATCTATCTAACAGAAATAAATAATTTACTATATTTTTTAAATATTATTGTTTGGGATTTTATATTTATAAATATTGAGAAATAACTTTTGTTAATATGTAGTATGATATTAAGATTTAGCTACTGGAATATTTACTTTATATTGAGTATTGCTTATACAGAGTGTCCCTAAAATTTTGACAAAGCGCTTGTGTGCAGGTAGAGCGGACTAAACTGA